TGGCCGACGATATGATACCCTACACCAGTTATGAATATTAAATGTGATTTATTTTTCGTAATAAAGCATTTATCTTCAATATTCCCTTGTTCCGATACATTTAAGCAATTTATGGATGAAAAACTAATTTTCTGAAAGAGGCTTTATATGGGGGCTAGAAGCAAATATGGACCAAGCCCGATAAAATTTTGTGAATATATTTATATTGACATAATATTTTAAGGGTGTGAAGTTAAATTCGTCGGCCAGATACGTCCCACACCACATATGTCAAATACGTTCCACATACTATAAAATTCGTTTTCAAATGAATTAAAATTCATTTTTTAATAAAACGAGCACCAAATAAAATGTTTTTTAAGAAATAAAGTAAAATTATATTAAAATACATTCAAAAAATTAATATATAAAATAAAAATTAGTTAAAATAATTTTATACTCGTCAAATATGGTAGTAAAATATAGAATTTTCAAATGCAAAAAACAGACACTTGGAGAAGACATGAATCGGGGTACCGAAAAACTGGAAGTAGCCCAGGACTAGTTCGTTCCAAAAATGTATAGTTTATATGCAATTCCAGCTCTGGATAATTTTGACGAATTTTTGAAAAATCATCAAATTTTGCCAAAAATAGAGGAATTTTCAAGTGGATCCAACGGGCATTTGGAGAAGACATGAATCGGGGTACCGAAAAACTGGAAGTAGCCCAGGACTAGTTCTTTCCAAAAATGTATAGTTTATATGCAATTCCAGCTCTGGATAATTTTGACGAATTTTTGAAAAATCATCAAATTTTGCCAAAAATAGTGGAATTTTCAAGTGGCTCCAAAGAGCATTTGGAGAAGACATGAATCGGGGTACCGAAAAACTGGAAGTAGCCCAGGACTAGTTCTTTCCAAAAATGTATAGTCTATATGCAATTCCAGCTCTGGATAATTTTGACGAATTTTTGAAAAATCATCAAATTTTGCCAAAAATAGTGGAATTTTCAAGTGGCTCCAAAGAGCATTTGGAGAAGACATGAATCGGGGTACCGAAAAACTGGAAGTAGCCCAGGACTAGTTCTTTCCAAAAATGTATAGTTTATATGCAATTCCAGCTCTGGATAATTTTGATGAATTTTTGAAAAATCATCAAATTTTGCCAAAAATAGTGGAATTTTCAAGTGGCTCCAAAGAGCATTTGGAGAAGACATGAATCGGGGTACCGAAAAACTGGAAGTAGCCCAGGACTAGTTCTTTCCAAAAATGTATAGTTTATATGCAATTCCAGCGCTGGATAATTTTGACGAATTTTTGAAAAATCATCAAATTTTGCCAAAAATAGTGGAATCTTCAAGTGGCTCCAAAGAGCATTTGGAGAAGACATGAATCGGGGTACCGAAAAACTGGAAGTAGCCCAGGACTAGTTCTTTCCAAAAATGTATAGTTTATATGCAATTCCAGCTCTGGATAATTTTGACAAATTTTTGAAAAATCATCAAATTTTGCCAAAAATAGTGGAATTTTCAAGTGGCTCCAAAGAGCATTTGGAGAAGACATGAATCGGGGTACCGAAAAACTGGAAGTAGCCCAGGACTAGTTCTTTCCAAAAATGTATAGTTTATATGCAATTCCAGCTCTGGATAATTTTGACGAATTTTTGAAAAATCATCAAATTTTGCCAAAAATAGAGGAATTTTCAAGTGGATCCAACGGGCATTTGGAGAAGACATGAATCGGGGTACCGAAAAACTGGAAGTAGCCCAGGACTAGTTCTTTCCAAAAATGTATAGTTTATATTCAATTCCAGCTCTGGATAATTTTAACGATTTTTTGAAAAAGCATACAATTTTGCGCAAAATGTAGGTAGTTTCACGTCGATACTATTATTCTTATTATGAAAAACATTTCAAAAATCAACTTCTGTTGCTCAATATTTGATATTTGATTTGAATTTTCGTTAACAGTTTTTACGTGTAAAAACTTTTGTTAATATTAAATATCACTCAATGAACTCTTTTTAAAGAATTATCTTGACTGCAGTTCAAAATTTCATTTTGTGAATAAATAATGAGAGTGATGGAGGTAGCAAAATATTGTTGTAAGTTTTCCATGAAAATTATGCATATTTTATTGCTTCGCTGCCAATAGGTTTGATCGTTTTGGGCGCTGTTAATTTGTTGTTGGGATCGCCGTTTTTTATATATGATTTTTGTAATTTGTTTATGACAGCACAATTTTTTTCTGTTTTTATATTCTCAGGTAATAATAATGTAAAAATAGAGTCCCTTCGACACTACTTGACCGTTCGCGCGTAGTGAACTACCACGATAACCATTCTCAGGTAATATTTTTCGTATTCGTTGTGAAAATTGAAAAAAACTCTACAATAACTCAAAAAAATTAAGCAATTGTTTGAGAAAATTCGCAAAATGTCAACCCAGTTGTCTTTCCTTTTGTGAAATCTTTGATTTTTAGGACTTATTTCTAATTTTCAATGACTTTATCTTGAAAGTCAAATGAATAGTGAAATTCAGTTGAATTTCTAGAAATTAAAAATTTTAAAAGATTTCATAAAAACACTAGTAAAGGTGAAATATTTTGTAATTCTTTGCGAATATTGGGAAATGTCTTAAAAAAGTCCTGGGCAACTTCCAGTTTTCCGGTACCCCGATTCATGTCTTCTCGAAATGCTCTTTGGGGCCACTTAAAAATTCCACTATTTTTGGCAAAATTTGATGATTTTTCAAAAATTCGTCAAAATTATCCAGAGCTGGAATTGCATATAAACTATACATTTTCGGAAAGAACTAGTCCTGGGCTACTTCCAGTTTTTCGGTACCCCGATTCATGTCTTCTCCAAATGCTCTTTGGAGCCACTTGAAAATTCCACTATTTTTGGCAAAATTTGATGATTTTTCAAAAATTCGTCAAAATTATCCAGAGCTGGAATTGCATATAAACTATACATTTTTGGAAAGAACTAGTCCTGGGCTACTTCCAGTTTTTCGGTACCCCGATTCATGTCTTCTCCAAATGCTCTTTGGAGCCACTTGAAAATTCCACTATTTTTGGCAAAATTTGATGATTTTTCAAAAATTCGTCAAAATTATCCAGAGCTGGAATTGCATATAAACTATACATTTTTGGAAAGAACTAGTCCTGGGCTACTTCCAGTTTTTCGGTACCCCGATTCATGTCTTCTCCAAATGCTCTTTGGAGCCACTTGAAAATTCCACTATTTTTGGCAAAATTTGATGATTTTTCAAAAAATCGTCAAAATTATCCAGAGCTGGAATTGCATATAAACTATATATTTTTGGAAAGAACTGGTCCTGGGCTACTTCCAGTTTTCCGGTACCCCGATTCATGTCTTCTCGAAATGCTCTTTGGGGCCACTTAAAAATTCCACTATTTTTGGCAAAATTTGATGATTTTTCAAAAAATCGTCAAAATTATCCTGAGCTGGAATTGCATATAAACTATATATTTTTGGAAAGAACTGGTCCTGGGCTACTTCCAGTTTTTCGGTACCCCGATTCATGTCTTCTCCAAATGCTCTTTGGAGCCACTTGAAAATTCCACTATTTTTAGCAAAATTTGATGATTTTTCAAAAATTCGTCAAAATTATCCAGAGCTGGAATTGCATATAAACTATACATTTTTGTAAAGAACTAGTCCTGGGCTACTTCCAGTTTTTCGGTACCCCGATTCATGTCTTCTCCAAATGCTCTTTGGAGCCACTTGAAAATTCCATTATTTTTGGCAAAATTTGATGATTTTTCAAAAAAATTTTCAAAACTATCCAGAGCTGGAATTGCATACAAACTATATGTTTTTGGAAAGAACTAGTCCTGGGCTACTTCCACTCTGCCGGTACCCCGATTCATGTCTTCTCCAAGTGTCTGTTTTTTGCATTTGAAAATTCTATATTTTACTACCATATTTGACGAGTATAAAATTATTTTAACTAATTTTTATTTTATTTATTAATTTTTTGAATATATTTTAATATAATTTTACTTTATTTCTTAAAAAACATTTTATTTGGTGCTCGTTTTATTAAAAAATAAATTTTAATTCATTTGAAAACGAATTTTATAGTATGTGGAACGTATTTGACCTATGTGGTGTGGGACGTATCTGGCCGACGAATTTAACTTCACACCCTTTAATATTTTATTGTGCTGAATTTCATCGCGATATTTGTGTTTATAAGCTAATTTGGGACATTCAAGTAATTTTCTGAAGGGGACTTTGTATGGGAGCTAGGGTCAAATGTGGCCCGATCTTTATGAAATTTGGCAGGGTCATCAAGACTTCTATAAAACTTAGTTGTGCCGTATTTTATCGATATATCTGTATATTTAACATAATTATGAGCTCAAAAGCCCTTTTTGGGGGGTTCTGTTGTATGGGGGCTAGGTGAAATAATGGACCGATTTTAACCATTTTCAAATAAAACGTGCGTGCAAAATTTCATCCAATTATCTTGAAAATTGCTACCTGTACCTTGCGACAAACAAGATTACAGGTTTTTATAAAAAGTTTAATAATATCTTAAATAAAATAAAAATATAATTACAATTAATTAAATTGAAATTAAAAAACAAGTACCATTAAAATGTTATCATTTTAAAAACATAATTTAACAAAATTCACTTTCTATTTAAAATCAACTGATAACATAATTCCACTTAATTTGTTAAAATAATGCAATATTTTAAAATCTAAATAAATACAATACATAGCTTATGTTTTTTTATTCTTAATAATTTTATCTTAAACAATTCTGTATGAAAGGTATTTCCTCAAGAAATTTCTATTGAAATATTTGCAGACAACAAACATACATACATACGTAAATCTTGTATAAATATTTGCTTAAACTATTACAATATTTCTATTATATTGACATGTATGTATATTTCGTGTCTATGTCAAACCAAAAATATCCAAAGTAAATATTAACGTCAAAATATTAAAGATTATTTATCTGTGTTATTCATTCAGTTATCTTAAATCTGTCGTTTTATCAACACTCTTTTCGAAATGTTTAAACAATTTTGTATTCTTGTCTTAGTTATTAGTGGTGACTATATTGTTTTAGGACAATATTTGAATAATTGTCAAATGGTATGATACTTAAAAGAATTTAAATTGATAGTGATTTTCATTTTATATCATAAATGTTTTTATTATATAGGGCGGTTATCGTACGAGTGGTAGAAAGGTTTTAAATGGTCCACTTTTAATGGAAGCTGAACATGAATTGCGTACCGTTTTAATGAAAATAGCTGAAGAGGATGAAGGACCATTTTATAGGTAAGAAGGATAATGACGTACAAAGAAAAGTTTTTGTCTTCATTATTTTGAACGAATTGTATTCTAAGTAGAAACCGTAAAAATAACAATTATCTGTTATTTTATCAAGTACTCCGTTCATATCGATAATTTTTAAATGCTGATTTATAATTTTGATTACTTCATGCAAATTCTAATAACTTAAGGCCGTGTCCAGGATCTCTTCGCCCCTTAAGTATTACGACATCTTCTGCATAACAGTCAGATCTAATTCCATTTTCGGTTAGGGTTCGTAGGAGGATTAGTTACAGAGCGTCTGTTCAACATTAAATTTGTTTGCATTAGAGCATTAGTATGTATTCCCTTACATACATAGTGAACAACTTCATTAAATAGGGTTTCTACCGATTTTCCCTTTACATAAGCATGCTGATTTTACTCGAGGTATTCTTAACTCTTAATTGCCTCCTTATCCATGCCTGGTCTTTTCCACATCATCTAGTCTCCTGTCCTTGACATCTATTATAGATTCCCGTTGAACATGAGTTTTGGATAGGTTTTTTCTATCATCAATACTTTATTTACGCGATCGTCCAGTTCTAAGAATGTTTGGCTTTTCGAACGATCGTACGAAAAATGTATTACTCTAATCTTCTTATATAGTTTAGGAATCTGCTAAGTGAGTTAATATCCTTATATCCTTAAAATTAGTATTCTTGGTTGGTACGATGACTACCACATTCGTATTTGATCTAAACGTTAAAGGGAGTTCGTTCATATGATCTTTTTTGATTGATTTGCTAAGCAGATATTATCCTCCAAAATAACTTTGACAATACTTTTTGACAGTTTTATTATTAGGACATGGAAGTTATTTTGAATATGTTCTACTTTTACAGAGTTGGCATTATCTTTGGTGGATCTGAACAATTGGTGGCAGGATCCTTAAAAACAGTTGCTGCTGAATTAATCGACTACAATAATATGAAACACAACTGTGAGGTCGACATGTGGACAAGACCATGGTTAACGGATGGTACTGAAGTGACAATAAGATGTGAATGTATGCGTACCGTTTTCAAACATATTGACTATTAAATGCAAATAAAATGTTGTTTCCAATATTTTCAAACAAAAAACATCTATTGTTTGGGGGGCGTTTTTGTACATGTTTTTTTTTGAGGTTTTATTAATAAACTAATTAGCATAACGTGTGAAATTTATGTCACTTTTCACAATTAATTCTAAAAAAAGTTATTTACTCTCATTGTGTTTATATACCCGTTCGTTTCCTCTCGTTACTGTTCTATGGCATAAAGTTGAGTTTTTAATTACTCATGTGAAACTATATTTTGTAGTGACTATAATGTTTTGATTAAATTTTTGTGTACCCTATAGTTGTCGGGGAAAATATAAAATTTAGAAAATATTAAAATCTGGGCCAAATTACATTACTCGATAATCACCGAAATGACAATAAAGTCTTAATCAAAAGACATAATTTATCTCTAGTTTAGCTTAAGATCGGTTACGACTTAACACTATTTGTTTAAGTATTTTTAAACATTTTAGGGTAAAACGTAAAGTCTTTATGTTCACCTACAAATCTCCTTCCGTTAAGTTTTATTTTATAGGTATTTTACCACTCATATTTTTTACAATACAAAAGGTTTCACCTAGAATATTTATTAAAAAAAAGTTTTTTCTCTCTTGAATTAAATTAATTTCACTTTTAGTTCGGAAACGGTATTAGTGGTGTTAACACATTGTTAACTTTTCAGTAAACCACCTTTTTAATTTTTGTTTTAAAATATGTTTTTATTAAAATTACAATTTTTAATTATTATTGTCATGTTTGGCACTATAGTTTCCCCTTTATCCAGTGCTGTAAGTTAAAGTTGGCGCTGTGGTTTCTATGGGGGGTTTTGTGATAAAATGTTTATTTTTTAAATTGAAATTTATCTTGATTTTGTTATTTTTATAGAGTGCTTTATGCATTGGTACTTTACCTGCATCGTGCTTAACTGAAGTGAGTAAATAAATAACCTAGTATAAAAAGTTTTTATTTTAATTAAATTTTAGTTTTTTTTTTTTTTTTTATAAATATTAATTAAACAAATTATATCAGTTGTGAATATAATTAAGAAGATTTAACAATATACTTAAATAATAATTTTATTTAAATTTTGTAGATTGTAAGTTTACGTAGTCGTTCTAATGTTTATAAATATGATATGTATTAATATCGATAAAATAGGATTTCAATGTCCAAAAATGTGTTTGGGCTCTAAAGTCCTATTTTTATTTTCTGGATCCTTGTTAAATTCGAAGACGATTTAGCAATGTCCTTCCGTCTGTCTATTGAAATCACTATATCGACCACACGTGATGAGCCAGACAGTTGAAGTTTTGCATAAATATTTGCTGTTGATAAGGTTTGTTTGGTATTGAAAATGTTCAAAATCGGTCCATGATTTCGCCTAGCTCCCATACAAGTGGCCCACAGTTTAAAGGGGAATACATATGCTAATTATAGAGCTATTGTGATAAGAATTTGTTCAATTTAATTTTATGCAACCATAGTTTTATACCTTCCATATAAAGTGCCTTTCGACCCTATCCCCAATATTAAGTCCCCTTCAGAAAATGGCATTAACTAGACTAGTTATAAAATTAGATAACAAAATAAAAATCATTCTACCAAACTTTATGAAGTTCGATCTAATAATTGAGCCAACCTCCCATATTAGGTCTACTTAAAAAAATACTTTAACGCTCATATCTAGGCATACTGCATATCTAAGCATCAGAATAATTTTCTGAATCAAATTAGCGATGTCCCTGCGTCCATGTTAACCTTGTAATTTGTCGCTATTTTCAAGATAATTTGATGAAATTTTGCACTTACGTTTCGTTTGACCTACCTAGGACGAAGCCTATTTAAAATGGTTAACATCGGTTCATTTTTTCGCCTACCTCCCATACCATAGGGTCCACATTTCTTTCTGGGAATGTTAAAGGTTTCTACAGCTGCTTCTCGTTTTGAGTGCAGTGACACATTATAACATTTTTTAAAGAAAAATATTTCATGTAATAAAATAGGAATGATAATTTACTTCTGATCAAATTAAAAAAGATTAGAGAAACGTTGGACGTTAAGACTATTTTGAAAACTTAAATGATTCTTTTACAAAAACATGTGTTTTATTGAAAAAGACACGAACTTTTTGACTCGACCGTGTACATAATGTAAATGTTTCAACTAAAACCCAAGGGAAGAAATAAAAAGGTATTAATTTTCCTATCTCAGGATCAATTACTACATTTAAGTGACGTTAAGTATATATCAAGAATATCAGAACCAATTAAAAATTAAAATTATTTAAATAAAAAAATAATTAAAAATTAATATTGTAAAATAAAAACATCTCTATTTAAAAAATCGTTTTTATTTAAATAGTAATTAATTTAAATTGTTATGCTAAATTAATATTGTTTGAATCTTGGTCTTTTAGGAGACTATAAAGAATTATATAGAGATAAATATTTACTTATCTCCATGTAATTAGCAATTTATTAACAATTTATTTTTTTGTTTTAATATTAAAGTAAACAAATTTAAAAAAATCAAGTTTAACAAGAAAGAGAATTTTACTAAAGTTTCAAAGTCTTTAGGTAATACATTGCCTGAAATATTTATAAGACCAAAATTGTTTTTTTTTTGTATACTAGAATTTAAAAATATTTAAATTGGACCTCTTTCTCCTAGCTACACATTTCTAGAAGACATTCGAGATTGATACTGAGAATTTAGACATTTTCTACATTAACACTCATAACATGTTTAAAATTCGAGTATACCTCGTTGAAATTCTACATGAATAAGCAATTAAAACCCATCTACCAAATTTTATGAAGATTGGTCCATAATTCTTTAAGCGAATCTGTTTATTGCCAATAAATCATGGCATGTCTTCTTAACTGTTGTTCTCAACTGTATAAAATTGAACACGGGCGTATCCAAGTTTAGGCTTCGAAAATAGACCCCACAAATGCTTCACTTTAGATTTGTTTGAAGTCTATAGACGACTAAACGGCTGGTCCGATTTTCTTGAAATGTTGAAGGAACTATAAGCTAAGCTTAAAAGTCGCATATACCAAAAATGGGATATTGTATATATCTGGGAAACTGTTATAAATAAAATTCTTAAATTTAGCATCAACTTTTTTGACATCTAAGTGAACATATGAGTAATAAATTGGCTGATAATCAATAAGTGACGTTGCACTTCCATATAAAGTGAATATTAAGCGAAATGGGCGGACTGATTATAGTGGGCGGGCACCTCCTATATAAAGCAAATGTTAAATTAGTATATTAGTTAGAGTCCTCAAATTTTGTCGGAGCCGCTTTGGTATAATTTCGAATGTTTAAGATAGAAAGTGGTGGAAAAGCTTTGAGGGCGTGGCACTTCCTATATAAATTGAATACAAAAAATAGTATATCTTAGAAACTATCAAAGCTAGAATCCACAAATTTTGAACGAATTATTTTGGGAATATCAACAAAAGTATCAACAACATATTTATAGAAATATTAATAACGTTTTACCACTTTCAAATACTTTTGAGTGTTTTCGAACAGGTTTTCAAGTAAACAAAATTTGTAAATAATCAATAATAACAATAACTATTATTTTTATTTATTTATCAGTTTCTACTAAGTATCTTCTGCTCTATGTTTTATTATCAGAGGCCAGTGACGGTATTTGTGCTACATGTGTACTATTTTCAGTACTCTTTTAATATTAACACAAATTTACCATTTAGCATTTTGATTTGATATCTTTTTAAAGTTGTAAAAATATTTAAATCTGTGACATATTTTAGTATTAATTTGAAAATTATAAAATGTTAATTCGATTTATTTACATATTGAATAAAATATGTATGTATATTTATTAATTTAAAACTTTAATACACGATCAAAGGAACATTTTTTAAACCTAGTTTTGGCTGTTTACTTTTGAAAAATTTTGGTACAAAATAAAATTAATAATCTGAAGCCATCACTGGTAGGCAGAGAGTGTTAGAGAGGAAAAGAGAAAGAGAGTGAGTTCGAATGCAAAAGATTTTACAAACCTTATAAAATGTATGATTCACTATTGAAGCAATCATCAGTTGTATATTGTTTCTAACATAGTGAACATTAGTAGAGAATAACTAAAATGAAATACGTTTTAATTTTGTGTTTAATTTCTTTGGCCACTTTTGCCTATGGGAATCCAGAATCATGTGTGGGTTGTCCCGTAAAAGTAACTGGCAATGATATTAAGAAATCCGAAGAAGTTCTCAACAAATCTCTAACAAAATTAGCAGCCGGTGATGGACCAGTCTACAAGTAAATATCAAAACATTTAAATATTTTTTCTTGGTGTCAACAACAGCTTTTTTCTTTTCGATTTAAGACTGGTTAAAATTAATTCAGCTTCTAGACAAATTGTATCTGGTTCTAAAGACGTAATTAATGCTGATCTTATGGATGAAAATGAAAAAGTTAAAACTTGTGATATTGAAATTTGGTCTCAACCCTGGTTGGATAACGGTATTGAAGTAACATTCAACTGTCCCGGTGAAGAAAAATTAGTTAAGAAACATAGTGCCTAAAGAGAAAGTGTGTACTCACATAATGGGTGTTTTGTTAATTTAATATGATGATGTTAAATGCAATAAAATTTTAAAACTCAATATGCCTGTATATAGTTTGTGGTTTTGGTTAAATTGGATGCAATAATATTTTTTTAAAGCTGTTTTTGTTTTTAATAAAAGTTGTGTCTGTAAACGCAACAAGTGTTTATTATTAACTTATTACTAATGAAGTCATAAGAAGATTATAATTGGCCTCTGACAAATTTATCTGACCGTTGAAAGTCCGTGTCTGAACGAGAAGACCTAGGGGGCTGAAATTAATAGAGTTTGTTTGGTATTTATATAAACAGTTTGCGGTTTTGATAAAATTGGATGGAATAATATTTTTAAAGCTGTTTTTTCAATAAGTATGGTGTATGTAAAAATAACAAGCTATTGTTATCTTTTACACACATAAATATGTACGTACATATGTGTGTCTGTTTTCTGTATAATTCATATGTAATAGAAAGTAAACTTTTGTGAATTTTTGAAAATTATTAAAAAACATTCTTTAGCTTAAACTTCAATTAGTTTTAAAGTTTGTTTGGTATTGTTATATATATGAACAGTTTGCGGTTTTGATAAAATTGGATGGAATAATATTTTTAAAGCTGTTTTTTCAATAAGTATAATAGTGTATGTAAAAATAACAAGCTATTGTTATCTTTTACACACATAAATATGTATGTATGAATGTCTGTTGTCCCTATAATTCATGTGTAATAGAATGTAAACTTTTGTGAATTTTTGAAAATTATTAAAAAACATTCTTTAGCTTAAACTTCAATTAGTTTTAGGAAGTAAGTAAGTAAGTTAGTTAGTTAGTTAGTTAGTTAGTTAGTTAGTTAGTTAGTTAGTTAGTTAGTTAGTTAGTTAGTTAGTTAGTTAGTTAGTTAGTTAGTTAGTTAGTTAGTTAGTTAGTTAGTTAGTTAGTTAGTTAGTTAGTTAGTAGTTAGTAGTAGTTAGTTAGTTAGTTAGTTAGTTAGTTAGTTAGTTAGTTAGTTAGTTAGTTAGTTAGTTAGTTAGTTAGTTAGTTAGTAGTTAGTTAGTTAGTTAGTTAGTTAGTAGTTAGTTAGTAGTTAGTTAGTTAGTTAGTTAGTTAGTTAGTTAGTTAGTTAGTTAGTTAGTTAGTTAGTTAGTTAGTTAGTTAGTTAGTTAGTTAGTTAGTTAGTTAGTTAGTTAGTTAGTTAGTTAGTTAGTTAGTTAGTTAGTTAGTTAGTTAGTTAGTTAGTTAGTTAGTTAGTTAGTAGTTAGTTAGTTAGTTAGTTAGTTAGTTAGTTAGTTAGTTAGTTAGTTAGTTAGTTAGTTAGTTAGTTAGTAGTTAGTTAGTTAGTTAGTTAGTTAGTTAGTTAGTTAGTTAGTTAGTTAGTAGTTAGTTAGTTAGTTAGTTAGTAGTTAGTTAGTTAGTTAGTTAGTTAGTTAGTTAGTAGTTAGTTAGTTAGTTAGTTAGTTAGTTAGTTAGTTAGTTAGTTAGTTAGTTAGTTAGTTAGTTAGTAGTTAGTTAGTTAGTTAGTTAGTTAGTAGTTAGTAGTTAGTTAGTTAGTAGTTAGTTAGTTAGTTAGTTAGTTAGTTAGTTAGTTAGTTAGTTAGTTAGTTAGTTAGTTAGTTAGTTAGTTAGTTAGTTAGTTAGTTAGTTAGTTAGTTAGTTAGTAGTTAGTTAGTTAGTTAGTTAGTTAGTTAGTTAGTTAGTTAGTTAGTAGTTAGTTAGTTAGTTAGTTAGTTAGTTAGTTAGTTAGTTAGTTAGTAGTTAGTTAGTTAGTTAGTTAGTTAGTTAGTTAGTTAGTTAGTTAGTAGTTAGTTAGTTAGTTAGTAGTTAGTTAGTTAGTTAGTTAGTTAGTTAGTTAGTAGTAGTTAGTTAGTTAGTTAGTAGTTAGTTAGTTAGTTAGTTAGTTAGTTAGTTAGTTAGTTAGTTAGTTAGTTAGTTAGTTAGTTAGTTAGTTAGTTAGTTAGTTAGTTAGTAGTTAGTTAGTTAGTTAGTTAGTTAGTTAGTTAGTTAGTTAGTTAGTTAGTTAGTTAGTTAGTTAGTTAGTTAGTTAGTTAGTTAGTTAGTTAGTTAGTTAGTTAGTTAGTTAGTTAGTTAGTTAGTTAGTTAGTTAGTTAGTTAGTTAGTTAGTAGTTAGTTAGTTAGTTAGTTAGTTAGTTAGTTAGTTAGTTAGTTAGTTAGTTAGTTAGTAGTTAGTTAGTTAGTTAGTTAGTTAGTTAGTTAGTTAGTTAGTTAGTTAGTTAGTTAGTTAGTTAGTTAGTTAGTTAGTTAGTTAGTTAGTTAGTTAGTTAGTTAGTAGTTAGTTAGTTAGTTAGTTAGTTAGTTAGTAGTTAGTTAGTTAGTTAGTTAGTTAGTTAGTTAGTTAGTTAGTTAGTTAGTTAGTTAGTAGTTAGTTAGTTAGTTAGTTAGTTAGTTAGTTAGTTAGTTAGTTAGTTAGTTAGTTAGTTAGTTAGTTAGTTAGTTAGTTAGTTAGTTAGTTAGTTAGTTAGTTAGTTAGTTAGTTAGTTAGTTAGTTAGTTAGTTAGTTAGTTAGTTAGTTAGTTAGTTAGTTAGTTAGTTAGTTAGTTAGTAGTTAGTTAGTTAGTTAGTTAGTTAGTTAGTTAGTTAGTTAGTTAGTTAGTTAGTTAGTTAGTTAGTTAGTTAGTTAGTTAGTTAGTTAGTTAGTTAGTTAGTTAGTTAGTTAGTTAGTTAGTTAGTTAGTTAGTTAGTTAGTTAGTTAGTTAGTTAGTTAGTTAGTTAGTTAGTTAGTTAGTTAGTTAGTTAGTTAGTTAGTTAGTTAGTTAGTTAGTTAGTTAGTTAGTTAGTTAGTTAGTTATATCACATACATAAGGTAACAAATATAGAGGGTAGGTTTATTTCGCTATTCCGGTTGTAAAACATGGAAATATTGTTAGTAGCAATCGTGAAAACATTTTTCACAAGTAAGTTTTATGCACACATGCAAGATCACCTCCAGTAATTTACTTTAATGTACATAATTAGCTAAGAAATATAAACGAGGTTTGTTGCAACAAACATCTATCCGAAAAATTTTATGACGTGGTCCATATTAGACTCACCATAGGTTTTTTGAATACATTTCTAGTAAAAATAGTAAAACAAGAGAAAAATAAAAATTGTCTCTTTACAGTTTTAATAAGCTTTTCTCTTTTACGCGAGTTGATCTAATAAATTTTATAAAATGAATGAACAAAGTAGAATTCTATTTTAAATTTATATTACTTAGAACATTTGAACTACAATTTAATTTAATATTTCATTTGAAAACATGTGCTATAAATATCGTACAATAAATCCACTTAAACGGCCAACGATCATTCAACCTATTGTGGTAATGATTAAGGTACTCTAAACGTAAATAAAATATAATTAACAACATCAATTAATATATTTTTATATTATTAATTAAAATATAAATTAGAATATCATTTAAATACAAATTTCTTATCTGCAGTTTATTATTTCTTTCTTGGTGAGAATGCGAGACTGAGTTCAAATTAAGGAACTACATGTGTGGTTTTAAAAAGTCATATACACCATCTCCAATAATATTTTCCACACAGTTATTCATGTACCTGTATATACTTAAGTTGTTTCAAATGTATAAGAAATATTTTTGAAATTTCTAATGGTATTATTTGAAATATATTTGAAAATTTCTGAAATACAAAATTTGATGACAAAATACAAAATGATTCACCCTGAAAAGGACGGTTTATGTAATTATGAGCAAAAAATACTCCATAATGTGTAAATTAATTAATTAATTAAGTAATAAGATAAGCAGAATCTTAAACAAAGCTTTAACAAAACTTGAAACCTTTTCAGTACATCATCTAATCATTTCAACACATTCCTTTAAAGTAACGCATTCAAGATGTACTTAAAATTTTATTAGCAACATCATTTAATTTGTTTGTTTATTGATTAATATTATTGAGCATCATTTAGTACAAATGTCTGATAACAGTAATTATCAGTACTAGTATATTTGTTATTACCATGGAGAGAAATTAAGACTGTGATCAAGTCAAACGAAAAACAAAAAAAAAAAAAAATCGGAATGTAAGCATAAAAACAAGAAATTCTGAATGCAATTCTTATCAGTCGGCATTTGAAATTCAAAACGAGAATATCATTCATCCTGGTCTTCGTTTTTGTTTTCTTGATATGATGAAAATCGTTTTAATTTTATGTTTAACCGCATTAGTTTTGGTCAGTGCGCGACCCGGTTGTCCGGGATGTGTAACTCATCTAACGGGCAATAAATTGAAGGATGCAGAAGGTACACTAAATTTTTCCTTAAGTAAATTGGCTGCTAAAGATGGACCATACTATAGGTAATTAGACTTTAAAAAATTTATTTAAAACTAATTTTAATAAATAAAATATTAATATTTTATTATTTTTAATTTTTTTTCATAAAAGACTTCTTAAAGTCAATGCAGCTTCTACACAAGTTGTTGCGGGTATTAAGCATGTTATCATTGCCGACTTGATTGACAATAGCCAGCAAACGAAGACTTGTAGAATAACAATCTGGTCCCAACCTTGGTTGCCCAATGGTACTGAAGTCAATTTTGAATGTCCCGGCGAAGAAAAGATCACTAGGCGACATGGTTTATAATTGTCCATTGAATAATCAAGATACAATAAAAATATATTTATATACATTCTGTGAAATGATGTTTTTTTATAATTATACATATCAAAAGTGATTTAAGGGTTATCTCAATAGTTTTAATCAATTTCAAAAAAAAGTATTAAATATATAAATACCTTTGAGACTATTTCGAAAAAAATTGCTTCAATTTTTCTACTTTCCTTAGACCTAAGGGCGATGATCGAGTTCAAACCAGACCTGGGCGATTTCCATTAATTTTGCATTAACATTAAATTTAAAAAAAAAATAATTTAATGTAAAAAATATTGCATTAACATTAAATTTGTAAAATTTAATGCATTAAATTTCCTTTAACATTAAATATTTTTGAAATTAATGCATTCATTTTGCATTAACATTAAATATATCTGAATTTAGTGCATTAATTTTACATTAACATTAAATAAGCAGTAAAATTAATGTATTAATATTCCATTAACATTAATATATATAAAAATTGATAAACATAAATAAAAATACAGCACAAAAGATCTCGATCTAACTAAATACAACTAAAATTAAATAGTTTAAAGTCCTTTCTAATAACTCCTATATTACATTCTAACTTGTGTGTTTTAAATATGATATTTATATAAGATTCCACGGACAAAATAAACTAAAAAAGGAATATCTGGGAAGTGATACTCTTCTTCTAATATGTATTATCGAGTATAGGACTTATTAGAAAGGACTTTAACACATTAAAATTTACTTGAATTTAGTTAGACCGAGGTCTTTAGCGCTGTATTCTTATTTTTATAAATGATTTTATATATTAATGTTAATGGAAAACTAATACATTAATTTTATTATTTATTATTTAATGTTAATGGAAAATTAATGCATTAAATTCAAAAATATTTAATGTTAATGCAAAATTAATGCATTAATTTCATGAATATTTAATGTTAATGTAAAATTAATGCATTAAATTTAAAAATATTTAATGTTAATGCAAATTTAATGCATAAAATGTACCCATGTTAATTTTAATGCAATAAACTTGCATTAACATTAATTTTTTTTAATGTAGAAAAAATTGTTAATGCATTAACACATTAAATGCATTTATCCCAGGTCTGGTTCAAACTCAGTACAGTTGAAAATACTCTGTAAGATATTCGATACGAACTTCAATATAAACATTTGAAACTATAGTGTTGATAATCGCAATAGAAAGGCACTACATACCTTTCTTTCCGTTGTTTGACATCAATAACGTATGGACACGCAGGAGTCGTATTTTGATAAATACAGTTTTTTCGTGTCGTAAAACATATATTTGAAGAGATCACCATATAAGATAATTTTTCACATTCTCTGTGTATTTCTGGTTATTTATTTATTGATATACATAGTTGATATTTCTAAATGACCTATGTATTTGAGGTATCGAGGTCCATATTGTGTAACACACACGGTTAACCGGTTTAAAAATACATATTGCAATTTTTATTAAACATTTGCATTTAAACAAAATTAAACAGATTTTTATTGTTATTTATATTATATATATTATATTATATTATATTATAAAAAATATTTACAATAATAAATAAGATTTACAATTTCAAATTTATAATATAATTTAATTATAAGATAATGCAAGAAAATCTCCCAAAGTCAACAAAAAATCAATTTTAAAAATTATTTATTAACCAAATGACGAAATTAGAACGTAACTTTTGAATTATATTAGTTCTATATTTGTCGTATCTCAAATATTTTATTCTTTAGTAATTAATTACTCGATGTGTTTTTAATTTTCTAACGTGTTTTTAATTCAAATTTCAAAACGTTCTGTTTGTACAAAAGTCTTAATTTTAAATATTTTATAAATTTCGACAAACAGGATTTCTCAAATTTTGGGTAAGGATTAAAGACGATATAGTCAAGTTCGTCTGTTTGTTGAAAATTATACGAATGAAAGGAGTTAGAGGGCAGATATTTCCCATACATAATCTTTATTGGTACATAATTAACTTCGAAAAGTTGGCTTTTCATAAATTATAAATTACTAAAAGTCTAAAATTCCACTTTTTATAAATAGCTAGAGGACGACTTTTGGTTTCAACTATAAAACCCTAGTAGACCATAACAATCCACACAAGTCCTACAATTATTCGACTATCAAAATTTCAATACTTTACTTAATGAACACCCTTATTAAAGATGAATTGTATAGGCCATAAATACTGTCGAGATTGCTCAAAGCCGGTTTATTTATTAGAAGAGATTAACTAGTAACAATTAAAAATTTTAAAACTGGCTTTATAATGATTTTGTATTATTTAAACTTAACAAATGTTCTACTAAAACTTTTTTGATATTACAAAATAAACGTTATTTTCGAAGAAATTTGTAAAAAATTTTCAACATGACAAGTTTATTTTTAACTAATGCATCAAAATATTATAAATGTTGGATAAAACACACGATTAAGATAACATTTACGCATTCAAATGACTAATGTGGCACAAAATCTAATAAATCCAAAAACACGAAAAAAATAAGAATAATTAAAAATAAATTTAAAAAATCAAAACATCACAAACAGCTTCTCTCTGTGTGAGATGCCGTAAAAACAAGTGAATTAATATAAAATGCAACTAGTAGCACAACTTTTAACAGTCTAGTCTAATATTTTAAGAAGAAAAGAACAAAACAAAAAAAATTATTGTTTTTTTAAAATGAATAAGTTCTTAATTTGTTTATACTTCGCTTTGGTTGTTGCGATTTCCAGCAGCACTGCCCGACCAGTAGATGAGGTAGGAATTTTTTTTAAAATAACATTTAAACAAAAAAAAAAATACTATTTGTTATGTAATAATAATAACAATAATTATATTTAGCAAGTTGCCTTTAAAGTACGGGGTGGTGTACGAAAAGTAGATGTTACTGCTTCTAATGATGCTGAAAAAGCTTTGCTACTTTCTCTATCAAAACTAGCAGCTGGCGATGGACCATATTTAAGGTGAGTTGTTGAAAGACTTGTTTAATTAACTAATGATGATCTAATTTACAATTAAATCTTTAAATTAATTTTATAGATTGGAGAAAATTCATTCAGCTACTACACAAATAGTTTCTGGCTCTAAATATCAAATCAATGCTGATTTCATTGACAATGATGAAAAATTGAAAAATTGTGATGTTACCATCTGGGCTCAGCCCTGGCAGGAAAAGGGTATTCAGGTGACTTTTGAATGTAAAGGTGAAGAAAAAATTGTAATAAAACACGATCCTTAAAATATGTTCTAAATAAAGATATTTTTTATCCTCGATAATAAATTGTGTTCTGATTGCAAAATAATACTAAAAGTTGTTTTTATTCAATGAAAGTATGTGTGTGAACAGTTTAGTTCAATAACTTGTTAAATCTACAAAAAATACTTGTATTTTGAAACAAATTAACTTTGAAGGTTAATCACAATTTAAGTACGTAAGAGTTGGTAGTGTGTTCATGTGAATAATTAAAATTATATGGAAACAAAAATTTCCATTAATTTTGATAATAATTTTCTTTTACCGGTTGTTAGGAAATACACCTGCTTTTCGTACTTGCGCTGTTGCATTTTTAGTTGTTTTCGGATATTTCATTTTATTTTTAATAGAATTTTATACGAAACAAGGAAAAAAATATCTAAACGATCTCTATAGGTATATATTTTCTGTAAGAGGGGTTATATGTGTCTGATCTTTAGAGAGATTTTTGAATCATATTAATTTGTTTAAGTCAAGTTTCATCAATCTAAATGCCTTTTTAAGTCAATTAGAAACCTTGAAGTAATTTTCTGAAGGAGAGTTTATGTGGAGATTTCAAAAGATAAACTCCCTAATTTTGCGACTAGATGTTCCAAAAATAGAAATCTGTTGTCTTTATTATACCCTACACCACTTTAGTGTGGAGGGTATCTTGGATTTGTGCTGACGTTTGTAACGCATAGAATTAATGGTCATATAACCACTTTTAAGTATATCAATCGGCCAAGAATCATTTTCTGAGTCGATTAAGCCATGTCCGTCTGTCTGTCCATGAAAACCTTGTAATCAAACTACAGGTCGCAATTTTGTAGATAATAGGATGAAATTTGGTACACACATTACTTTTGACACAAGGACGAACTCTATTGACTTTGCTAATATCCCTACAATAATAGGCATAAATAATACTGCAAAATTTCGTAATGAGCGGCGCTTACTTAACCCTAGCCCGCTTGCAAAGTCCCCCTCTGAAAATGCTTGAACGTCGTTAATTCTCCTGTAAACACCTGCATTTCAATGAAATTCGGTATAATAAACTTTAACGGCAACAAAAATCCCTCCACCAAATTTTCTTAGGATCGGTTCATAATTGACCTTAGATCCCATATATAGCCACCTTCAGAAAATATTTTTTTTCATCAAAAATATATCGAAATTAAGGAAAAATTCAACTTAAATGCTTTATTATTAAAAATATTACACATTTTAGATATACTCATAACTGGTGTAGGGTATCATATGGTCAGCCACGCCCGACTATACCTTTTTACTTGTTTTTACATAAGGGAAATTTCATATCAAGTCACCCAACTTTTGTGACCGATGTTTTCCGAGAAAAAGTTTTGATAAGAACATTTTTGTCAAAAATGTAAAATTTTCACCTCTGTAACTCAGAGAGTTATTAACCAATCTTGTTGAAAATGTGTGTCTATTATCCAATAGGAATGTCATTGGTGCAAATTTCATACCGATCGGAAAACATCAGCTTCAAAATTTGGGTCACTTGACATGGTATAACCATTAAAAACAGTTTAAGTGCATTATTGTCCAAAAAACAACCGTTTCAGGTAGAAGCGGTTCTAATGGAATCTGTTGTAGAATTGATAAAGTAGGGATCAGTTCACAAAATTTGGTATTATTAAAGCAGATTCAAAACAAACAAAAAATCCGCATTTTCATGCTAAATGCTAAAAATAAAAGATAAACTTTGACCCTGAATTTCTCAACAACTGCCGAAACGATTTTAGTGAAATAAAAAAAATAGAAAATTTCAAAAAGACATGTATGTCTTTATCGGTCCAAAGGTAACATTCTATCTTCCTTGGTCCATCCATTTAGGATTTACCGTGTTCACAAAAAAATAAAAGATAAACTTTGACCTTAAATTTCTCAAAAACTGCCGAAACGATTTTAGTGAAATAAAAAATAGAAAATTTCAAAAAGACATGTATGTCTTTATCGGTCCAAAGGTAACATTCTATCTTCGTTGGTCCATCTATTTAGGATTTACCGTGTTCACAACAACGATAATTGTATATAATAATATATTATTAATCAGTCGGTTACTCGATTATTCGATTAAAATGAACTTTCAATGTTTTTAATTTATTTTACAACATTTAAATTTACTGAATTTAAAAACTTTCAATTATTTGAACAATTCGACTAAAACCGAGCGATTAATATTTTTGTTTAAGATTATAATTTACTTTTTTAACTTTAAAATTAAATATATTTTTTTTTATTTTTTCATTGCAGTTGTCTGAAGAAGAAGCTAATGAAACTTTGAAGTATGTGATTAGTAAATATGAAGAAGTCGAAATGAAAATTATCGGTGAACCTGTATCGTAAGTACAAGAAAATTTATTATTAAGTATGTATGCTCCATTAATTATTTTACAATAAAAAATCAAGTGATTGATTATGCATAAGTGTAGATCTAATAACATGATCAGTTATGGACCTAAAATCTGCATAATTTTAGAGAGTGATTAATTTTCAAGTATAAACTATTTTTGTTGAATATTATTTTATTTTTAAAGCAGACATTAAATCTGGTAAACTATTAGGGCATTGAAATTCATATGAACATTAGTGGGTGTGGCACATTTATAATATGGCAAAGCGTACTGGGTGTAGCTAGTAGAAAATTTTAATTTAAATAGGTTTGTCATCCTTTAACCCTTTCACGTATACGGGACAACGGTGTCCTAAGATTTTTTTTTAATTTTTCTCGATTTTGAGCGTAATTTTAAGTTCACAGCTAAAGTAAATGGTTATTTCCAAAGAAATTTTTTAGAATTTGATGTCATTACATGCTAAAAAGGATACAATCCTGCGATATCCTTCGAAAACACTTTTTCCATTTTTCATCAAAAATGATCAATATACGTCAAAATAAAGTGTGTGGTGAAGTCATATCCATAAAAAGTCCAGCGGTTTAGTTTTGTGCGTGAAGGGTTAAGACCTTTATTTCCATATAATTTTCAGAAAAAATATTTAACCGGATTTTTTCTTTTTTCTTCTAATTATTGACGTTCTGTGAAATGATAAATTCCTAATAATGAATCTCCTTATATTCCCACCTGTCAGAGGTGCAGGGGTCGGAGTCTTTGTTGGCACTGGCACAACAGGACCTATAGTGGTAGCAGGACCTAAAGATGTAGCAGGACCTATAGTAGTAGCAGGATCCATAGTTGTAACAGGACCTATAGTTGTAATAGGACCTATAGTTGTAACAGGACCTATAGTTGTAACAGGACCTATAGTTGTAACAGGACCTATAGTTGTAACAGGACCTATAGTTGTAGCAGGATCATCAGTTGTAATTTGTCCTACTGCTGCCTGTACTGCAAAACTGAACAGAATACCGGTAATTACAAAGAGATTGAGCGATAACTTCATTTTACCTAGAAATTTGAAGACTAAAGAGTTAAATAAAATTTCTTTTATACCTTGGTCCCAAAGTCTTTTTCTATTATATCTATTTATTTATAAAACATATTTAAACAACTTTTGTTTATTTGTGTTTCTTACAGTTAAAATAAGAATTAAAAAAACAGTTAAATATTTACATGAAAAAACATACATATACCTACTACGTATTGCTTTGGGAAATAATAAAAAAGCAATTATAAATAATTAGTTTATCGTGGCCCTAAATTCAAAAAACTACAATGCCATCTGTTGGGAAAATGTATAACTTAACGGGAATACTTCTCACGACCTTAGGAATATCTCATCACGTGCAGTAGTTTCTGAGTTTAACGATTTTTTATATAGGATTTTTATTTGCATCTATATTCATCAAACTACAGCCGAGGTAAACGTTTTCAGCGCAAACAATTTAATGTTTTTAATATGAATTTTTATTGAAAAATAGAGTTCACAACCTCTAGGCCTGATTTTCTCATTTAGACAACTACTTGAGTAACTATGTACTGTCCAAACAATTTTTTTTCATATTAAAGAGACTTCTTATTTAAAGTACACAGAAAAAAATGAAATTCAAAATCAAACAAAAAATTCATAAAGCCAAGTATTTTTTTAACTAAAATAGGACCTATCACGAAATTCGTAAAATCAAGTACTCAAATTCGTAAATTCTTTATTGAAAAAATTTCAGGATTTTTCTTATTAAAATAATATACTATTTACGAAAAACATTAATAAATATTCGCAACATTTCCAAACAATTATTTTACTAAAACAATAACGCAAATTATTTGTATTTGTACTGAAATTTAAGCAATTATTTTATCTGAAACAGATAAATTATTTATTGTATTTTGCCAATAATAATACACAAAATTCCTTATTGAATCTATAAAAATTTTGTTAAAAAATATATATTGAATTTTAATAAAAATTTTACTAATTCTATAAAATTAAAATTTGTAGAAAAAAGTACTTATATACTTACAACAAATTTATTTCACATTCTAGATACTATTATTTGTACTGTGAAAACTGAAACACTTATACATTAAATGTTATAAACCAAGTAAGAATTATATCAATTCATTTTAGTACATTCCAAAACTAGTTTTATTGTTGTATTCCATATGCTGACATATAAATAAAACTCAAACAAAAACATTTATTGAACCAGTAAAAATATTTACTGAAAATTAAATTTATTTCAATAAAGTGTTTGTTAGAAAATATTTTCCTTCTACGTGAAAATCAAACAAATTCGTTATAAAACCAAATAAAAGTATTTATAAAAATCGAAATTAAATTTAAGCAAACGATTGTTAAGAAAAAAAATGTGCATATTTTTTTCTGTGTAAGTAAAAGTGATCTTCCATTTCACAATGTATGGTTCCCATAATACCAGAAGTGGAAAATTATAGAAAACTTAAACCAAAAAAAAAAAAAAAAAAAACTTTAAGAAAACAGAATAATTGCAAACAAATCAATCAATTTCACTTAAAGAACTAAACGATCGTAATCGAATTCCGTGACAGGGAATATGTATTTGATGGTAATGTACATACATATCTATGTACATATGTATGTATTAATCTCAATATTCTATTGTAACATTTAAACACAATTTTCACCATTCTATGCATCTGACCACCATTCATTTCTCAGTCATCACAAAACAAATAAATTAAAATTCTATTCTTTTCCTTAAGGATAGTCAATCATCCACAAATATACATTTGAATACATTTTCTTCTATACGTATCCTTTTTCAAGCATCTACGGTTTGCGTTTGTCATATGGCGATACTGAGGAAGAATTGAATATTCATTTCAAATACATTGACAATACTCAACAAGACATCATACAGAATTGTGTTTTTGCTTTGTATCATCGTCAAAATGAATGTGAATTGATTAAAACTATTTGCAATACATTTCTGCCGATTACACCGCGTCCTCTATTGCAACGCAAAGATTTGCGTATTTGTGATGATGGCAGTGATGTGCAACTGGTTGAAAAGGAAGACAATGACGAGGGGGAGGAAACGACAATGGTGACAACAACAGATACCAAACATGTTGCTTCGAGAACTGACAATGATGCTGAAGGTTCTGATAATGATGACGATGAGAAGGATCAACTGCGACAGTCGGCACAGCAACGCAGTACTGAGGCGGAAAGTTATTGAAATGAATACCAGATGACGACATGAAAGAAATTATGCGTGCACAGGACATAAAATATGTTTGTTATCTGTAATGTTTAAGAGGTTGATAAAGAAAAACTTTGCAATATTATTTTAGTTTTATTTTCATTTTGTATATTTTTAAATGCAATATTCTTTTCTTTTATTTATGCATTTGCTCATAATATGAATTTACATTTAATAAATGAAAACAGTTTATTATAAAGTTATTGTTTTGATATAATGCTGCGTTTGAATGAATATAACTTTTGATTGTAAATTAATTGTATTTTACTAATGGGATGATATTACGAGAATTTTCATATAACATTCGAAGAAACTTCTTTAAAATGCGTTTAAATTTTAAATATGACTGCATTTGGTAATCATCTATATTTTTCCTTAGATTTTTTAGTCTCAAATAATAAACTCTAACTTTGTTAAACACGTTTAAGTTTCTAAAAACTCGACAAAAGCAATTGATTTTCTTAAAGAGGTTTTATTTGGAGGCAAGAGTCAAAGATAGGCCCATGGTGGAATTTAGGTTTATTTATGCTGAATTTTGGCGGCATAATTGTATTTAAAAGTGAATTGTAGATGTTCAAATAATTTTCTTAAAAGAGACTATGTATGGAGTCTCTGATCAAATAAGACCCGATCCTTAGCAATACCATTTAAACTAGAAGAGTCACACATTGAATATGAAAATACAGCCGTTTCACTGAAGCAGATTAGAGTATCTGGTGGGAATCGAACCCGTAATCCTCAGATTGATAAGCTAGTACACTATCAACTAGTCTATCAGGTACCCCATAGTGTATATGTTTTTAGTAAACTTTTTAAATCGGTCCATAAACGAAGAAATATGATTGTTTTGTCAAATTTACATACCTGAGATGTCCTACTTCGGTGACCTTTTTCCCATTAGGTACTCTTCCTCTTTTCGCATGCGAAATTTTATCTGTTAAATCGACACAGAAAGTGATTCTATTTGGTATATTTTAAGGTGGGTTGGAAGTGTCATTCCATAATGGCTCAGGAGTTATGACACACTAAAGAGTGTCTTAGTGTCCTTGTGACTCTTATAAAACAGAAATGTATTAAACTATTTGTTTAAAATTTAAGAAACAGGCAGTCTGTTCCCAGATGCAATTGATCCTAAATTTGTGTATGTTTCATTTTTTATTTCCTTAAAAAGTATCAGGAATGGCCAGAGGAGGGGTTTTTAAATCTGGCGTATAACGTCCATGCACATTATGACTTTGGACATTATGTCGCGCCATCGTTTAGGAACTTCATTAAAATATGTATTCAGCCATATTTTCGTTCTAAAATCGTTATAATTAACTTAAATGTCTATTTTTTAAACGAAAACTTGAAATCGGCTGAAAACATTGTAATAGACCACATGTTCGCTTTTTGTTAAAAATAAATTGGTTTTAGCTTCCAAATTTTTTTCATTTTTTTTCTTAAATTTGATTCTTTAGCAAAAAATAAACCTTACCTCTTTCAAAACCATTTTTTGATCGATAAATAACTGCAGCAACCTGAGGTATTAAATGTTTTAATTCCATTTAATGACAGTATTTTTAAATTATTTTAAGTTACTTGAAGTACCCGGTTGTTTTAAATAATTTCCAACTGAAGAAAAGTGGCCACACGTTTTAAAAAATCACGTAATTAGCCAAATGTTTAACGGACAAATATATTTAAATATTGAATAAAGTTAAACAAGTTGTGGCAAAATTTTTACTTTATTTCTATTTAACCATATCAGAATTTTATTTCATTCTGCTTATTCCAATTCACAGTTATATGTATTGTGTTTACATGTTTCATTTTTATTTTGTTTCTCTTTTCAAATAATACTGTCATGCAAAACACATACTCGCTCACGCTTATAACTTGTATTTACGTTTAAAATTGACCTTCCCCCACTTTTGTTGTATCGGTTTCTTAAATGAATCTTGTCAAGTATTGCTAATACCCCATGCCACCTAATTCCCATACACAACTTTTTTATATGTTTTTAGTTATATTTTAGTTTGGAGTATTTAATGTGCCAGTAGTACGCAAATAAACTGCTATTAGCGAATTATTAGGGGAAAAAGAGCAAAAAACAAAATAAAACAAGTAACTAGACAGAGAAAAAGAGAATTAGAGAGAATTAAATTTGTTATTGTTTTACTTACAATATACTCATTGAGTATGCAAAGCGCACACTCACTGAGTGATTAAATTTAAATATATTGTTCCGGTTTACTGACATGTGTTTAGCACTTGTCAACTTAATTACAGTGGGTAATGAATGAAGTAATTAGTAATGAGTGGAATATTTAGTAACTAATGATATACATTTGAAATATGTACATATTATGTAATTTTAAAGTATGCTTAATATTATAACTTTGATAGACATATAAATCATACGCCCCCATGTCTTATGAATAACAAATACATATTTACCTCTGATAAGAACTTTATGAAAATATGAGGACTTCATTTACATTTAATTTATTTGTTAAACATTGAAATAATTTTTTGTTATTTATTATTTTTTATTATTTATCTGTAATAAAAATTAAAAACAATACATAATTTTACCTTTGACACCCTTTAAATATTCAAGTAACTGTCAATATTTTTTGTTTCTTTTTAATTTTTCACTTGATTTTGTCCCACTGTTAAAATAAAATATTTTGACCAGTTTAACTTTTCATAAACAAAAAAACTTACCCCCAACGGTTACTTATGAATGGGGTTAACTAGATTGAAAGAGAATATTATGACATAGAGTTACCATATTTTTTTGCTATGATATATTGTATTGTTTCCAAAAGTTTTATTTACACTTCTGATAGTCTTGATATTTTTATTTTAATACTTTAATATTTTAATAATGTGCTGATGACTAATCGACTTGGAATAATTTTCTGACTTGATTAAACCATATCCGTCCTTTCATCTGTTTGTCCGATCTGTCTTTGTGTTCATGTAAACGTTATTATCAAAGTAGAAGTCGAATTTTTTAATATAATCTATGAAGTTGCGTTATTTAGGCTCAATAACTAAACCTATTTAAAAAAGTTGAAATCGGTCATATTCGCCTATGTTTAATTTTATATACTCACCATCAATTTCGAAAAGTGACCTTTTATAAGGACATTATCGATATTAATATAAAATCAGGGAGATTTTCGTGATATACCCTTTAATAATGGGGGCTTGGTTAGATTGAACGATGTATTGACAATAAACAGATTTACTCGAAAAGGTGTAATATTATCGGATGGATTTTTCCGAAACTTATGAGAGATATTTTGGGTCTTACAAAACTTACTTAGTTCTGTAAGTTAAGACCATTTTTTGCAGGAAACCTTATATGGAGGATAGGGTCAAATATGGAAAGATGTTCGCTATAACAAACAGTATATGCACGACTGCAATCTTTCTCTTTTCGTTCGGAGACTATCGTGTTTTAAATAGACTCACAAACATGACTTAAAATCGAATAAGAATATAGATACTTAGCACAAAAGGGTCTACCTGCATTATATCGATGAGTTACAAACGAAATCACAAAATTAATATAGCCTCACCTGTTTTGATGGTGGGTATAAAAAGTAGTGCTCCATCACAGAAAGAATTATCATACACAGTTTCATAGAGGGAATAGGATATATACACGCCTGGTACCAAATTGACACCAAAGAGTTTATAATTTTTCAATAACATCCGTTGTCAAAGTATATACATACGTACGACAACACCATGTACAACGTTGCGTTGTCAACAATTCGTTGTCGAAATCTAAATTTTATACACATGCGTTGTCTAAATGTTAACAAACGTGGTAAGCTCACTATTGGCAACGGATTGTTTGTAAATAGTTAGCTTACCACGTTTGTTAACATTTAAACAACGGATGTGTATAAAATTTAGATTTCGACAACGAATTATTGCAATATTGTCAAAATTACATAGTGTTGTCGTACGTATGTATATACTTTGACAACGGATGTTATTGAAAAATTATAAACAGTTTCGTGTCAATTTGGTACCAGGCGGGTATATTTCTTTTTCCCTCTGTGTACTTCAATTATATAGATGTGTTATAAACGGAATCACAAAATCAATAAAGCATCATTTGTTTTGATGGTGGGTACAAAAAGTAATGCTTCATCACTTAAAGAATCATTACAAACAGTTTAGTGTAGTCGTAGAGGGGAAACGAGAGTCCTTAAAGGATTTTAGCTTATATTTAGTTTGGTTTGTTTTTGTAAAAGTACTTTTTATAAGTTGTTGTCGTGGACTACATGTAATATTGTTGTAGATATGCATAAAAATGGCAAACCTTAGAAATTTTGGAGTTGGTCCATAGTTGGTCTACGATTCAAAAAAGGACAATTCAGTTTTCATTCAGCAAACATATTTTCCCGTTATATTCTTTGCAAAATATGGCAATCTATTCCATAGAACACCCACCAGCTGAGTGTATGTTTTCATATAAATAGAGCAAAAAGGCAAATTTGCCAAAACTAACAAAAAAATATATACATACATATATATGTATGTAATTATTGAGAGTAAACAAAAAAACTAAACAACACTCACAAACACATACACTCCCAAATACTCGTGTACTCTCTTTTACGCACTTAGAACGACAACAAAAACAATTGTGAAGAAAATTTAAGGTGAAAATAATGCTTACATGACAGTTGTAAAATTATGACTGGAAAAAGCAGACTTGGCACAATTCTTAGGTCCCTAGACTTTAGCAGTCGCAAAGTGGCGCCATAGCTAAACGGGAGCAAAAATGAATTATCAAAAATATATATGCAAAGTGAAATAAAGTAAATTAAACAAATATTAAGCAAAAAAAAAAAAATCAAGAAAAAAAACAAGCTAACTGCTAAGCTAAGTGAAATATTAAATGTAACAATTGTTAATAAAAAACAACAATTGCAATAATCAACAAAATTAACAAAAGTTTAACAAAAAATTACAAAATAATACAAAAATTTTACTTTATTTGTTTTTTTTTTGAGCAATAAAAAAATTTATTAAAAAGCAGCTTTACATTGGGTGTTTGTAATACAATAACGGTATTTTTCGAGTTACTTAGTTTATGTGCGAATTACAATAAAAACAATTTGAAAGAGAGTAAAAGTGAGACAATATAAAAGAAGAAGAAAAATAAAAAAATACCACTGACCTACCCCCTTCCCCCTTTTTGGGAGTAAAAATTGAGTTTTGTTATTTTATTTCTTCTTAGTACACGTAGTAAAGTCAAACGTTTGACATGTTTTAATAGAAATAACGGATATTTTGCTCCTTCCAAAAGGAAAATTGAAAACAGAAGTGTTATTGTTATTTAAGGCTGATGGTTATTATTACCGGCGGTTTTTGAAAAAGAATTATGAAATAAATTCTTAATACAACAAGGTTTTTGGTATTTGAAGAAAAATTTATTGAAAATTAACAAAAATTAATAAAATAAAATATAGTGTTTTGAATTAAGTAAAAAAAAAAATGCAAATTAATTTATTACATAGAAATTGAATGTGCGTTTTATTAAAATAATTGTACGAATAAATATATTAAAATTAGTGTTATCATCATTTTTGTTAAAAAAAAAACAAAAACAAAACAAGCTGTATATAAAAAAGTGTTTAATCAAATGTAAACAAAACAAAATAAAAATAATAATAACATGAATAAAAATACAAACAAAAGAAATAAAATAAAATAACAAACACGCTGTGTTTTGTTTGGCTTTAAATTAACAACAATATACAAAATAATACTAAATACAAAAACAAAGTTAAATTTTTAATAAATTCCCCAAAATATTTACAAAAAAGAAGGTTCGTGTTAAAATTATTTAAGTCAATAATTATCAAATATTTTTTTGTGTTTTTAAGTCCCCTTTTTCCTCACTTTTTGTTTAAGCCCTTTTCTACAACGAAAATTTTGCTATTTACACCTTTTTTAGGCTATGCCTTTTTAAAATATTCTATAGCTACTTGTCGTTTAAAAACAAATTTTTATTATACCGTTTATTTTTATTTTATTAAATAAATTTGTTGTTTTATTTTTGTATGTAACCAAACATTTTTATTTATTGTTATTATTCTTCTAAAAGTTAATGTATGTATTTTGAAAAAAAAAAAAAAAAATGTTTTTAAAGTAAATTATTATTGTGCCAGGGTATTTGCTGTTTTTTGTTGTTGTTGGTCTTAAATTACTTTTTGTTGCCTTGTTTTTATTGACTTTTTCCCTTGTTTTTGTGAAAACAACAGTAACAGAGACACTGGTTTACGTTTTTAACATTTCCTTTCATTTCCCTCCCTACATTCTTTATTGTTGTCTTTGTTATTGTTTTTCTTTATCCTAGTACGTAATATGTATAAATATTATTACAAGGTACCCTACATTATATCCTAGTGGTAATTTCGTTGGGCTTGTTGTGTTAAACTAAACTTGATTTCTATAATGATTACCATTTTAATGCCAATTATCTGTTTTTTCTTATTTCTACTGTTTCAAAAAGTAAAGTTTTCCATCAGGTTTTTGGTTCTTTCTATTAGGTGTTTTCATATCGAATCGAATTTAAGATTTGAATTTCAGGGCCCAAATTATGGCATACGATATCGATCGAAATCTCCATTTAGATTCTATTGAGATTTCGATCGGTATCGTATGCCGCAATTCGGGCCCAGATTTGTTTCTTTCAGACTTTATTCTTCATAATCTCTCTTATTTGCCATTAATATTTTTAACTCTTTAATTCTGTTCAAGTTTTAATTAAAAGCAGAGGAAGGAAAAAAGAAAATTTCCCTTTACTATTCGTTATAGAAGACTGGTAATGTTAATATGTGTGTATTCGTTATACCGATCTTTGACAGTACATATTTCTTCCTTAATATAAAATGTGTCGAATTCACCAAGAAACAACTCATCAGGTTTTCATGATATCGAGTCCTAAAGTTTGGCCATAATCGTACCTAAACCTTTATTTTAAAGTCCACAGATTAGACTTTTAGACGACATTACAAATATTAAACAAAGATGAAAGGTGGTCCTATAGATGGACTTAGGTTTAAGGAGCTTAATGGGGGCTTAAGTCAATTATGAACTGAGCTCTATAGAATTTGAAATAGTGAAGAATATCTTCCAAAAAGTATTTTTTGTCCAATTTTACCTTGATTCCATAATAAACTAGAAATGGGATAATATATATGTATTCTAGGGTAAATTAAGGAGCGATCTTTATGAAATTTGGTAGGAAAATTTTGAATTTTGATTATACTTCACAGTACTGGCTTTAGTTATATCGTTGCAAAACTTTTTATATCGCTTGACATCATAGCTTTTTTGGATCGAATTTTATTATACTTCACAGTATTGGCTTTAGTTATATCGTTGTAAAACTTTATATATCGCTTGACATCTAAACTTTTTTGTTCGCAGCGTAGTTAATTTGGTAAACTTTTTACGTTTTTAAAACAACTTGGATTAAATAGAATTATTTTTTCTACTATATTTTTAATCGTATTTCTCGGATGTGAATGAATTTTTCGATCTGCTGCGTATTTAAAAATTGCTCGTTGTTTTTGTAACACGACTGACTTTGCTCTATCTTCGATTTTGTTTAATTCTAACTTTGTTAGAGGCTTTTGGATGAATATTTCGCTATATTGAGGTTTTATAAATCAGAATTTCTTTGTTATAGATATATTGTATTTCTGTATGAAAACGTTAGCTATAGAGAGTTTTATTAAGGGACCCAGAAAACAATTCGTTATATAAGGATTGTTTGGTATTTACAAAACTTTTGTGAAAAACTGGAATCAAGAAACAATAAATATTGCGTCATTAGAAATGCCTTTTTACACTTAACTTTTTTTGTCACAAGACGTCATGCACCATTGAATATATCTTAGGAAAAACATATTTTTAATTGTTTATATTTTTATGTAGAGTTCAAATAGGTCTGTACTTAAGAAAATGAAGAGGTTAATCGAAATGAATGATCTTAAGATATCATGCGTGACGTGATGTAACAAAAGTAGAATTTTTGGTGGAAATGCCCATATATCTATATCCTACGTATTTATTATGCGTTAGTGATGATGTTTGTTACGCACTATTAAGACGTATCCGTCCGTTTGTCTGTCCGGCTGGCTGGACGTTCACGTAAACCTTGTGCGCAATGTTAAGGGCTCAATTTTTAATATACTTCAATAAAATATTTTCGGATCTTTATATTTTTCAAATATACACATAGCTGGTATTGTATCATATGGTCGGCCTTGCCCGACTGACTATACTTTCCTACTTGTTTTAAAAGGATTTGTGATATAGAGTTGTGTAATGTGAAACATATTTGCTGGTGGTGATAAGTCTCTGCCAAGACATGAATCTGTAGAAAAAATGCTCAAATGTCATCAAGTCGTCCAATGTAAAATGTCATCATCTGATGATTTGTATGTAATGAATCACTTCGGACATTGTTGTTAAGACATAATTTCCAACTGCGATATATTGAGTTTTTCGTTATATCGAAGTTTTACTGTAGTTTAATCTAAAACTATCCGATGAGAAAATTTAAAGGTAGTTGAAGTGTTTAAAATTTAATTGCAGTCCAAATGAAAAGTTATTTTTATATAACTATGACTATATAGTCTATATAAATCTTAAATGAATTTATCGTCACTAGCAGAAAAATTATAACTATAAAGTCAAAGCCTGAGAAATTTTGGTCGATTATTGTGAAAAATTTAAGTATTCTGAAAACATATAGCTTCTGCGGGCAAAGAACCATTTTTTTAGTCCAAAAACTAATCAAACCAAATTTGAACACTTCGTTCTATAGTAAAGCGTATTCCAGTGAGACCGATATAAATCGTTTAACACAAAATTGAAGTAGCCGAACGCAATAAGGCCTGGATTATAAAGCGAGTGAACTTACTTAAAAAGGAAGTTTCAAGAGAATTATGAACATTTCTGTTAAAAAAAATTATTATAAAAAATATCATATCGTGAGTCCTAGATCCATTCCGGTAGTGTTTTACATACACAGAAAATAGATTGTCTTAAGATCTCATTTACCCCTATCGCCAATCGAAATTTCACGTGAAATATGAACCATTTTCTCTTTTTTTGTTCGCTAACTTCTTTGGCGTGAAAAATGTCTCCAGTTGTAAAAATTTGTTAATAGAAAATCAACTATAGTTCAGGATCACAATAGCAATTTTGCCTGATATTTCAGGCGAACAAAATGATCACTTGACGATATTCTCTTGACGATATTCTCTTTTGGTGGTGTTCGATTTGAAAACAAATGTAAAATTTAGAGTAGATCAGAGAAACATTTAAATTTAAACTTTCGCTATAAGGCTTAGTAACTTCTACTTAGGCGTCAGTTTTTTGTATCAAATATTTATGTTTGTTTTATTTACATTTGCCAGACCCTCTTTTCCGTTCGTCATATGAAGAATTCAATTTATTTTGTTGTTCTACTGCTGTTTTTTCGATTTTGTTTTTTATTATCAACGCAATTTTTTCATTTTTATATTTTGTTCATTTTATTTTTATTCTATTACATTCTTCTTATTTGTTTGTTTTTTTTTTCGTCATCTATTCCCGTTTATATTTTTATTGCCATTTTCGCAATGTGAAAGCTTTGTCTTTTTATGATTTCAGTTTTTCCTTTTTCCTGCTTTTGTTGTTTTGTTTTTGGAGGGGAAGTTTTTGTTTTGAGCTGGCATTTGTCTAGTGTCATCTTACAGTTGTGGTTTTTTTCTTTCGTTTTTTTCGGACATTATTTATCCTCAATAATTTTATTGCTTTTCACATCCGTCATTTGTTACTTAAATATACCAAATACAACCACACATTTATATACATACGTATTTACTAATGCATGTTTATATTAAGTTTAGTGTGTGGGTGTATTACCCAACAAACATTAGATATAAGGTGGTTTAATTTTTCAAATCCCTTTGATTTGTTTAAAAGGTGTTTTTTTTTTTAAAGTAAAATATAATTAAACTTTCAAAGCCATTTTTCTTGAAACGATTGGATTATGCCGGTCTTGCTGTAAATATGGGCTATTTCGTGTCATGTCAACTTTTATTAAACGACCCAGAAAAGCATACATCATGATTTAACCACTATTACTATAGACTAAATTAAAACTCATCAAGTGTGGTTGAATATACATAACTCCTTTGAAACTTCTATCTGTATAGATCAAAAATTACCAAAATTAGCCATAACTGTATAAATATCATAATAATTTAGAATAAAACATTTGCGACAGCTTTAATACCGTTTGTTTTAAAAAATTTCCCAATTATTCTTTGTCTACTGGGTTATAGACTGTTGTACTCTTTTATGTGCATATTTTCTACTTCATATGATTTCATATCATTTTTGGGAAATTGTGTGAAGTTTATTGCGAAAAAGGAAAAGAAACGTCAGTGTGTTGTGGTAATTTTGTTTGGTTTCTTATGATTCCGTTCGCATGCCATAGCAATTTGTAAAGTTTTATCGATGTTTTAAAGGAAATTTTAAGTTTTTAACATTTATGTATGTATATTTTTAAATTATTTTTAAGGGATCTTGTTTTGTATTATTTCAATTTTACAGAGTTTAACTTGAAATGCATTTTTTATTTAATAATAAAATTGTTTAAATGTTTATAACATCTTTGAACGCATTTCTAAGTTCGTGTAAATGTTTTATTACAAAATGCTATAAAACTATATAAGAGAATTATGTGAATTTATTTTTATGTTTTCCTTGGGCAACTCCCACTATTGGCACCTGGTGTACCACGCAAATAAAGGGGCATTAATGT